GAAAACTTTCTTTGGTGCTAAATCTTTCATCACATCAATACCATGCTTTTGAAGGTATTCCTCTATCTTCTTTTCATCCAAATGATCAACTGATGCATTTCTCCATAAACTTTTAAACTCTGCAAATCAAAATCCATCACTTTTTTTGTAACAGGTAACAAAACTAAATTCGAGCCAATGAAAACTCTACAGCTCACTTCCATTTCCCCCAGAGGATCCAGCTCATGCCCGATCTCGAGGAGGAATTGCTGCTGTGAACAGAAACAGCAGCAGTGATAAATGCAGAAGAGCTCAAGACTCTATACATGAATCAGCTGTTCAATTTTTATGCGCTTTGTGCTGTGTAACAGCAGTTCAAAACGTATATTGTCGCACAGTTGTCTGTGTTTGTATGTCTCAGCAACTTGTCCGCAACTTTCAACTCGGGAACCACAAAAACTAGGAAGCTGAAAATTTAGGGGAATGTTCCCCACCCACGTGCGACCCCGCAAGTTTAAATTCAGTCTTCTTGTACCCGCAGGTGCTACACGTACGGTCCCGTAAAAGTTTGGGCGGATAAAATTATTATCATGGGATCCACGGAAGCTAGAAGGCTGAAATTTCGTGGATCCCTCACCCATGTGCTACCCACAAAATTTAAATCCAGCTTTAAACATGTACGGCCCCATGAAAATTTTTGACGGGTAAATTATTAATTTTAGGGTTTTGACCCCTACCCACGCACAAATTCAAATTCAACTTTCCCGCACTCTCGAGTACCACTTACGGCCCCGTGAAAATTTTTTGCGAATAAATTATTATCTCGGGAACCACGAAGTCTACAAAGCTGAAGTTTTACGGTAATGACCCCTTGCCTACGTACGACCTTACTAAGTAGACTGCAGCTTACAGGCCAAACTTGGAAGTGCAGATGGCAGGATGCGCAAGTGCAGGAGACAGTAATGAAAACTTACTAATTCAAATGAGACTTACTAATTCAAATTCAGCGTTCTCGCGCTTTCGGGTATCACCAAAAAAATTTTGGCGGGTGAACTATTGTCTCGGAAAGCACGGAAAGATATTCACCCCTCAAGATTTCGAATTCAGCTTTCATGCGCCGGTGCGTGAAATTTTTAACTATTTTTCAACGTTTCAACTATTTTTGCACAGACTAAAGTATAAAGTAGTGAAAATCATTGATAGGCAATCGTTCGGTGGGCAGGACTGCACAAAACGCATGGTCGCACCGGCTAGTCTGGTGCGCGTTGCTAATTATTATTTCAGTCACTTGCTGTTTTGTACCAACGTGTCCCTAAATTACCAGCATTTCTGGATAGTAAGTTTTCTAGGTCTGCTATGTCGGAAGGTACATAAATGAATGATTGGCTGCTGGTGATAATGATAAAAGTTTTCTAATTTTACTGTCTTCGCCCCACCGGAGAGGAATTCAGTCGGCGTTTTCATGGTTGCTGAAACTCGACGAAATACGAGTAATAACCTACCAAAAAGTAAGAAAGTATTAGTTGGGAGGGGATTTTGATTGCAGCTCAGAACAAAAATCTCTAACGCTGAAAAAGTATTTCCTTACTTTCGTCAACTTCATAGTCGGTATCCGGATCGTTATAAAAAAAGACACGGTCCTTG